AATTGAGTGAAAGTTTACAGGTCAGATCAACAGTTTTACATTCAACAAATCATACACTTTGGTTATAATCCCCTCCATGTACCATCAGTTAACAGTATTTGTCTGTATTCATTTTAGTTTTTTTTTTTGTTGTTGTTGTTGTTTTTTAAACACTCTGGCATATATAATAATTTAAATCACCAAATCATTCTGCAAGTCTGTCTTCTGGCCACTAGCTCTCAGTCCCTCTCTTTCCATGAATCTATAGTCCTCAGCTGCTCCCTCTCTCCACGTCCCCATCACTGCCTCCGTCTCTGGCATTGCTGCTTCTCTGGATAGGGTCTCACATTCTGCGTGTGCTCCTCTCCCTTGATAGTCCTAGGGTCCTCTCTTTCTGGACTGTAAGATTAACTACTCCCCTGATTTTGTTACAAAACTTCTACCTTTAGAATTATTACAGTCGCAATTAGTCATGATAACAATCACTCACTGTTGAATCTTAAGAATCTTATTTTCGTCTCTTTTCCCCAGACCCATCTAGACAAGATGAAAACTATTCAGTGGGGACTCTATCTTCCCCCACACACTCTTAAACTAAGCTCCCCCTTGAAACCTTGTAAGCCAGTCACTTTGAGCCTTTACCGCCCCCTCATTTTAGGTAGCCAATGTCTAAGTTGCTCTTCCCTATCTACCCTGTGTAAGGAGCTATGGTAGCGTAGTGGTTACGAATCGGGCTGCGAGCCGCAAGGTCAGCAGTTCGAAACTACCAGCTGTTCCGCGGGAGAAAGATGAGGCTTTCTGTTCCCGTAAAGATTTACAGCTTCCAGAATCGCAGCAACACGCAAGCCAGCACTGTATGACAACTGGTAGGCATCTCATATGTATGTGAAAGTTGGACAATGAATAAGGAAGACCAGAGAAGAATCTATGAATTTGAATTATGGCGTTTGAGAGAAAAATATGAAAAACACCATGGACTCTCAGAAGAACAAATAAATCTCCCTAGAAGCCAGGATGGTGAGACTTTGAACATGTTATCAGGAGAGACCGGGTCTTGGAAAAAGACACCATGCTTGGTAAAACGGAGTGCCATTACAAAAGAGGACGATCCCCCAGTGAGATGGATTGACACACGGGCAAAAACAATGGGCTGAAACCCAACAACAAATGTGCGGAGGGCGCAGGACTGGGCGGTGTTTTGTTCTGTTGTGCATAAGGTTCCTATGAGTCGGAACTCACTGGACGGTACATAACAACAACAACAAACGGGCAAAATATTGAATGACACATGAAGGAAAAAATACAGAGTCACTCTACCAAAAAGAAATGGTGGGTGCTCGTCCAGTTCAAGCGGTACCATCTGATCCAGAACCAATGGTACCGAGGGAAGAAGTCCAAGCTGCACTGAAGCCATTGTTGAAAACAAAGCTCCAGGAATCGACAGAACACTAATGGAAATCTTTCAACGAGGTGATGCAGCGCTGGAGACACTCACTCATCTCTGCCAGGGAAATTGGAAGACAGCTAGCTCCCTGGCCAACCATTGGAGGAGATCCAAATTTGTGCCCATACGTTACCAGAGCTCCTTCAGGATTATTCACTATAGCCAAAAAGATGAAACAACCCAAGTGTCCATCAACAGAGCAATGGATAAATAAAATATGATCTATACGTACAATGGAGCTCTGGTAGCGCAGTGGTTACGAATCGGGCTGCGAACCTCAAGGTCGGCAGTTCGAAACTACCAGCTGCTCCGCGAGAGAAAGATGAGACTTTCTGCTCCTGTAAAGATTTACAGCCTTGGAAACCCTGTGCAGGGTCACTGCCTCAGTACTTAACAACAACAATATACATACAATGGAGTCCTGGTGTGGTGCTGTAGGATAAACACTGGACTGCTAACCTTTTCGGGAACCTTATACAAGGTTGCTATGAGACAGAACTGACTTAATGACACTTAACAACATCAACAACATGCAGTAGAATATCAGCCATGAAGAGCAATGAAGTCCTGATACATGCTACAACATGGGTAGACCTTGAAAACATTAAGACATCAGAGGCTACATGTGGTTTGATTCCATTTGTATGAAATGTCCAGAACAGGCAAATCCATAGAGACCGGAAGTAGTTTAGCAACTACAAGGGGCTGGGTGGGGGTGAGGGAGTGGACTCTAGGGTGATGTGTCCATGAGTACAGGGTTTCTGTTTGGGGTGGTATAAAGTTTAGGACGCAGATAGTGGAGGGGTGCTCAACATGGTGACAGTATTAAATGCCACAGAACTGTACGCTTCAAAAGACTTTCAAAAAGGCAACTTGTTTGTTATACATATTTTACCACAGCAGAAATTTAAAAAATATATAGTGTTGTTTGGTTGAGTAGCGGGAATGGATGGTCCCCCACTCATTGTTGATCAATGCCTGGTGGTGCTATTGGAGGGGGCCATGGTCGAAGTGTGCATGTCTTCCGGTCCCACTCTCTGTTAGGTGAGGTGTCAGGACACCAGACATCTGGGTCTGAGCTCAGGAATGAAGCTGGGATAAGGTGTCGACTCACTTGGGTGAAGCAGAGAAATGATATCAAGTACAAATGGCCAAGAGAAGTGGGCAAGGACACGGCCCGAGGCACTCTGGCATTGACAAGGCCAATGAGGTAAAAGGCAGGTCAGAGGAGATGAATGCCCACCCACTCGGCCAGGGACTGTCCCCAGGCCCCTACCTGGGGTACACATTCCTCCATCTGCTGAAAGAGTTCTATATTTGGTCCTGCAGGTGGACTTGAGGTCCACTCCCAGACTCGGATGAAGGCAGTGATGATGGCACCCCAGTCCCTTATCATGAGGGCCCACACCCCCTTCACAGAGTCCTTGCAGGCCCACAAGTGTTAACCCCAACTTCTGATGACTGAAGCAGCCCCCCCCCCCCCCCCCCCCTGCCTCTCTTCTCATCAGTGCTTCTTCCTCCATAATTGGCTCCCTTTCCTGCTCCCCACCCCCACTCACTTTGCTTAGTATCCCCACCACCGGCAATCTCTCTCTTCGCAGCCCTCCACAGCTAAGCCTCTCTCCACACCTTCCCCCTCACTCACTCCTCAACCAAAATCGACAGTGACATCCCCCCAGTATCCCAGAAACACTCTTGGCCAAGAATGCCAACAACCTCCTACATAGAAGAGCCTCGGGCCAATCCTGCAATTGTCACCATGATTCCTCCTTGAATACTTGAGGACTCCATGTCAGCCCCAAACTCCACTTGTAATTCCTGACCCCCATGTCCAACTGTCCGGTGGACAGCTCCCTCCCCTGACCATCCCAGGCCCTTCCAACGTAGCCAGACCACATCCAACCCTGTGGGACCTTTGTTCCATCTCTCCAGTCCTGAGTATGAAGCCTGAAAAGAGTCCTTCCTTTGCATTCTGCACTCCACATTCAGTCACCACCCAAACCAAAGACAGTGGGAAAGCTTCCTTCTGGGGTCGCGCCAGGGCGTCGCTTGTCCACCTCTCTTCACCTGGAAACTGGAAGTCACAAGTACCCATCTGAAGGTTAGGCAGAAGCTCGGAGAACTTGTAGAACTGAGGAAATGCATCTCCTAGTCTGAATTCCCTGCCTCTATCTCACCCTCTGCAACCCGTCTTCCCTGTCTCCAAGGAGGTCCTCCTCTTTGTGAAACACGTCTGGTGTGGCACTCCCAGCAGTGGATGGCCCAACTTTGGTGAGTAGCCTCACTTCCCTTGTGAAGCGCATGTGTTTCCAGAGCAGGGGTCCCAGGCCCAGCATCAGCCCACCTCTTGACACACTGTCCAGACCCAAACACTGGACGAGCAGTGCAGTTCTGCCCAATGAGACGAGAGCACTTATTTGCTGGCTTCCCCTGCGAAGCAACTCTATAGGAGGGAAGATGCCCTTGGATTCTGTGGTGGCCTAGGACGAAGTGGACCTTGCCGAATGCCGGGGAAGGAAGGAAGTGGGTATTGGTGCTGCAACACTTCTGGACTTCAAGTTCTTTTATTGTGAAATGAATTACTTGAAACCCAAGGTGGCCTAGCTAATACAGTTCTCTTTGGACCAAAATTAAAATCCCAGTCTCCTTTAAAGTTTGTGAATAAAATGAAGTGAAAGCACTGGTTGGTTTTCACATGAGCAGCTGGACCACATGCGGTGCCAGGGACCCTGCCGTACCTCTTTCCAGCCCTCAGCTCCTCCAGGGGCTTTGGCTGGGCCTGGGGCTACTTCCCAGCCAAGGCATCCTCCCGGAGACTACCGCAGTCCTGGGAGGGCCGGGGCCTGGTGTGCTCGGAGGTGCTCCTGAGCCCATGGTGTTGGTTAGCCCCTCACTTTTCACACATGCACCTGCCACGCTTCTTGTGACATGCCGGCGAGTGGGTTCTGACTCACAGCGACCCTGCATAGGGTTCCCGAGGTTTGTACTGCCAACCTTGTGGTTCACAGTCCCGTGCTGATACCCCAGAGCCACATTAGGAGTTCCCCTGTCTCAGATCCACACTTGGCCATCACTTCCTTCTGGACCTGTTAGTCTAGCCAGTCTAAGAGGGAAACATCACTTCAACCCCACCCCACCTCCACCCGGCTGGGGTGCGGATGAAGGAAGATGGACTCCAACCGGGCCCGGGGACCTGCCTCAGGTCACACCACAGAGCTGGGCAAATTTCGCCCCGGGCCTACTTTTCCTTCCTGTGACCCTCCAGCACCCTGCCACATGTCAGGTCGTGTGTCTCATGGTGTCCTATGCAGGTGAGTAGAGGCTGACGCTGGACTCCCTATAGGGCAGGTGGTAGGCCCGGGATAGTGTTGATGATCGATTCTCTGCCCTGGGACCCTTCCAAAAACCCACTCTTCACTCAGAGGCACTTTGAGGTGGCTGGACTCAGACTCTGCTCCGGGCCTCTGTGGTCTTGTAAGGGGTTGTTGAGTGAATCCAGGCCAAGGACGAACATTTTATTATTCTTATAAGAACACATTGAATGCAACATGCAGCCACTCCTCCCCCTCCCAGTAGCTTATTTGGAGAGCCCCTTCTCCGTGGCCTCGGTCACTTCGGGGTGCAGGAAGCGGCTGGCCAGGCGTTCGATGTCATCCATTGTCAGGCGGCTCAGAGAACGCTCGTATTCCTGAAGAGAGGAGACCAGGGCTTACATAAGCAGGGGCTGGAGCAGGGGGTACTGGAGTGGCAGAGGAGGGCTGAGCTGACGGGGCAGCGTCTCACCCGCTGGAGTTGCTCCTGGACCCTGTTGGCATCTGCTGCGCTGAAGTGTCGGCCCAGAACTTTGGCGATCACTTGCCAAGCCTCTGAGGGTGGCGCCAGGGGTCGGGACTGCGTCTCCACCTGTCTTCGGGCAGGGCCCTGTTCCAGGAGCACCTTCTCCAGAGGCTTGACCACTAGGTTGAGCTTGGAATTGGGGCCAATGCTGTAATCGGAGAGTCGCTTCCCATCTGCCAAGGAGAAACTGATGGAGTTCATTACCTCCAGCTGCGGCGGTTGCTGCCCAGGGGGAAGGCAGCACCGATGGCCGGCCACCAGCCTCGACACCCCGCCCCTGCCTTCCTGCGGGCCTCCCCGGGCGTCTCCACTCCCCTGGTACCTGCTAGGGCTTTGCCCTTGAACAGCAGCCGCTGCTGGCGCACAGGGACGTTTAGCTGCTCGGAGACCAGAAGCTTAAGCGAAGACACCATCTCGTCCTCAGACACCTGAACAGACCAGGGAGGCGGCAGAGGTTGAGCCCACGGTCCGATGGGCCCTCGCAGGCCCCTCCTGGTGGGGGGCAGCTCTCCAGGCCTCCCCGCCTCCGCTGGCCGACCCGCCCTGTTCCCTCCCCGGGCCGGCGCAGCCCCTGGACCCTGCCTGTGTCTACGCGTCTTTAGGGGGGGTGAGTGCTGCGGGAGCGGGGCCAGGGGGCCGGGTCTGGCGTCACTACCTGAAGGATGCACTCTCGGCCCTGGAGCGCCTTCACCGTCAGCTGCATGGCGGCTGCGGCGCCGGCGGTGTCCACTGCGGCTGACGCGCACCCCAACGGCCCCCCGCCGCACGCCACCGCCACTGCCCCGGGCGCGCGCCGGATCCGCCCTGCGTGCCCCGCCCAGTCCCGCTCCCCGGCTGGCCCCGCCCTCCTCTGGCCCGCGCGCTCCGCCTACCCCTGCTCACCCCACCCCACCGGCCGCCCTGAATAGTAGTTGTGGTGTCTGGCTTTGCCCCACGCCGGGGGACGGTCCCGACTGCCGGATCCCCTCTGGCTACCACGCAATGAAGGGAGGCTGACACTAGCCAGCCAGTCCTGCAGGCCTGGATCGGAAAAAGGAACGAGTTTGGCCGGATTTACTTATCCGGGAGATGGGGACTGGGGGAAAGAAGGGCTGGGAATAAGCTGGTCCTTCGACCTTTGGGCCCTCCAGCTGCTCCCGTTGAGCCCAGACAGGAAAGAGGACAGGTATCCACATCCAAGCGCCTTTCTCAGAGCAGGGGTAGGCCCTGCTGACGAAGTGGGTTAAGTGTTGAACTGCTAACTGAAAGGTCAACAGTTTGAACCCACGAGCAGCTCCACACAAGAAAGCCCACCATTTATTTACAGCCAGGGAACCCCGACCGAAAGAGCTTCTCCCTTGGGATTCCGCGGCTGTAAAGTCGACAGCAGCAAATTTGGTTTTGGGGTGGTACTGTTCATATTCTAGAGCAGAGGTCCACCTCTCACAAGAGCTCAGGGGGAGAAAAAGAGCTCGAGTCACAAACCTGAGAGCTGGGAACGAGGCAGGTGTCACCCCAGCTGCTCCTCCGCTCCTGCCCACATCTCCCCAGCCACACGCTTCTTACCTCACCCACAGGCCCCCAAGGGCAGAGACTGGAAGGGACCCAAGCTTGCGCCTCTCTTTTATTGAAATATATTTTCTGAGCAGTACCCAGTAGCTAACTCAGCGTGGCCTCTTTGGCACAGAAAGCTGGAGAATACAAAATCAGTAAAAAAAAAAAAAAAATAGGCCTGGATTTTCTGAGTGCAGAACGCATGAGCACTGAAGGCCTTTGGTACACGAGAACTGGGGGAGTGGGCAGTGGGGAGGGGCCCAGGGGCCTCAGGGAACTGGGAACAGACTGCTATAGATGAAGTGGCCCATGACCAAGGCCAGCATGTCTGAAGTGCAGCTCAACGCCACAATGAATGGGGCCTGGAAGGCCCAGGCAGCTTGGAGGCGGCAGAAGGACAGCTGCACCCCTACCTCGATGCTGACTGTCCGCCCGCTGGGCCACCGGCAGCTTCAGACATGTGGCCAGGCAGTAGCCTACCAGAAAGCCGACCGGGGGCATGGTGAGGCCCACCAGCACAATGGGCAGCCTGACGCCTGCCAGGATGAAGCTGCCCCATGCGGTATGCCAGGAAGAGGCCACCCAGGAGCAGCAGGACGGACGCTGAATGGCTTAATGATCTGCAGCAGCAGCTGAGAGCACTTGGGGAGCTTGGACTTGGTCAGTATACCAGCTGCGATGGGGGTGGCGATGAACAGCAGCGTCCCCAAGATCTTGGAGATGGGCACGTGGCTGTAAGTGGCTGAGGACAGTGGCAGGAAGCCGGTGGCAGCCACCATCGAGATGAACGTTATGGAGATGGCAAGTGTGACATCCCCTCCGAGGAGGAGGCTGAAGAGGTAGCTCCCCCCACCCCCAGGTGAAGAGCAGGTGCTGATGAGGCCCAAAGCCAGGGCCTTGGGCAACATGAAGACATTGGCCATCAGGAAGGCATGGAAGGGCATGGGCTGGGGGCTCTACAGGACATCAACACTTGGTGACAAATATGAGAGGCAGGAGCAGGTAGAGAACTGGGTTCTCCGAGAAATGGGCCAGGTCGGCACTGACGAGGGTAGGCACCGCTTCTGCAGCAAGACCCTCCTCGATCAGCAGGGCCTGGGTCTCACGCAGCTCCAGGAGTTGCAGGTGGAAGCAAGGGCGCTAGTCCCTTCATGTCAGAGTGGATGCTGACCACAAAGTCGCCCCCGCCGCCCCAGCTTACGGCACTCACAACCTTGATGATCAGCACAGCCATGTTCAGGGAAGTAACCCTGAGCGTGGGGCTGAGCCCGGTCTTGTTGCCCAGGCCTGGGTACTGGCTTGAAATCACGATGATGCCTTCACTGTGCTCAGGGAACTTGAACTTCAGCACAGAGCGGTCCCCAATGCTCAGGTAGCGGGACCCCATCAATGGTACCGTGTGGTCCAGAGCTGTGCTGGCAAGAAGCAGGGTGGCCCCAAGCATGCTACGGGGGCCAGGGCTCGCTACAGCCATGACGTCTCTAGGAAGGACCGTGCACCGGATCCTCTGTGGCTTAGTGAAGCTCCCCAGCGGGTGCCGTGGGCTGGTTCTGAGCAGGGTCCATGCACCAATCCCATGTTCTTCCTGAGGAGATAAGGCACACAGGGAAGGGGCTGGTGAGGGCCAGGGGCATGAGCCTGAGAGGCCAGCCCTCCGGAAGCCTCTGCAGAGCCTTTCCCCTCAAGCCCAGGAACAGAAACGCAATGCCTAGTGCTGGACCCTCCCCCAGTACAGTAGCCTCAAGTTTCCTACATGCTCAGAGGGGCCACCTACACATAGACTTGTCCTCTGTAACCTTTAGGGACAGCATGGAGATGTCCCGATTCCCGTGGGCTCAGGATACTCCCAAGTGTGTCACCACTAGGACCACACCTGGGATCTGGTGAGTGCTCAGCGGCTGCTGTGTTACCGTAACTGCCTGGGGATGAATGACTAGGGACCTGCAGGAGTGAAGGGTGCTGATGGGGTGCTGACAGAGCTGGACCTGGGAGGTCTTTGGAGAGCAGATCAGGGAATCGGTGTGTGTCGGACTAGGCCCTGAGCCCAGCAGAACAGCGAGGGCAGTGTCCAAGTGGACGGCCTCAGAAGCTTTTGTGGGTCTGTATGGAGTCTGGGTGTGGCGCTGTGGGTTAATGCGCCAGACTGCAAAGCCGTTTGAACTGCAAGGTCGGCGGTTCCAGCTCACCAGCTGCTCCCTGGAAACCCTACACAGGCTGGCTATGGGTCGGAATCAACTCGACAGCACTTCACAACAACAACACGCAGTTGGCTACCTGCTAAGGTAGGTCCTGGGGAGAAACAGGTCTCATTCTCCCAGGGAGGTTGCTGGAAGGAGCCGGAGGAATGAAATACGGCTACACGGCCACTGAGTAGCTTCACGTCCTCCCGTCCACCTGACAGTGCCCACTCCTCTGGCAGGCAGTCTATATGGATTTGGCTCCTGGAATCCCAACGTCACATCTGGGAGCTCGTGCTCGAGATCCAGCACCTTTCAGTCCCAGTCGGGGCAGATTCCCCAGTAAGCCCAGGTGTGCCAGCTGCATTGCATTGTTTCCTTGCTAATCCGGGGTGAAAATTTCATGTGGGTTTCACAGGTTGGACATGGTGGGGACAGGGGACATTGTGTACTGCGGACGGGGTGGGGGTGGGGGTGAGGCACAATAAGACCCATATGTCCCTTGCTTGTTGGGTCATCTGGCCCTGCTCCCAGGGGGCCTGTGAGCGTAGTGAGGGTGTCTCATGGAGAAAGGAAGCCATCAACTTCTCAATCTGGGCAAATGCCACTGGATTGTAACATCACCCGCTGGAACTGGGGCAACAAGGATGGGGACATACAGTTTCATAGCGCAACTCTGGGTTGCTTCATGCCTTGGAAGAGTCTGGCTTCTCGAGTTCCCAGCAGTCTTTGGCCCTGGTCTTCCACCCTGACCCTGGGGAGAACAGGTCAGGTAAAAGGCTGGTCCCTGGAAAAGCGCCCCCAGGACGATATGACCTCTGCTGCTTTAGGGGCTTGGAGCACTTACCCTGGAGGCCTTGGTCCAACCTTGCGTCCCACCAAGAAAGAAGGCTGCAGAGGTGGGCATGGGAAGCAGTGGTGGGATTCAGAAGGAAGAGCTACCGAGCCCCAGGTCCCCATCTTTAAGTCACTGCAACACGGGTTTTCACTGAAGGGCGGGAAGTTTACCCAGAAACCTATGGGCTACAGGCCCTGTCGACTCTGTCAGCACTAGTTGGCCGCGATGGTCTCGGGACTCCTCTCTACCTGCGGAGTCCCGAAGTTGCTCATTTTCCAGGAGCAGAACTGCCACTCACTCGCAGCTCGAGCCGCCCCGCAGCCCCGATGGCAAGGGAACCCTTGTCCGGCTCCCGGGATGCTCAGCCAAGGCAGGCCTCATGAACGCGCAGCGGCCGGCCCTTTCCCGCCGGCCCCTGTTGTCGGAGCCAGCGCGCAGCAGCGCTGGGCCAGAGGCCACCTCATACCCGACCCTTCCGGGCCGGAGGCTCTCACCTGCCGCGCCCGCGGAGCTCGGCGCTAGCGCCTGGTGGCTGGTGCCTAGCCAGCCGGACGCCTGCGAGCTCGGGCCTCTGGGCCCCGCCCCGTGGCCCAGCCCTACGGCCCCGCCCCGCGCAGCCCTGGGCCCCGCCCACCTCCCCGAGACCGCTCGCCGTTCCAGACCCGGTTGGGTTCCCACCGGATGTGACGTTTGGCTGATGGTCCTGGCGACTGGCCCAGTTTCGACCTAGCAGCGCTGCGTGCCGCTAGCTATCTGCCCCTAGGTCGTGGGTTCGAACTTTTTCTGGTCGCCGGGAGGGCGACTTATTTCGGGAAGGAGTCCCACTCATTTCCAAGCACTCTACGGCTCCTGAGGCGCCGGGCGTGGGACACAGGTTTAGACGTTCGCAAGGCTCCGGAGACACAAAGATTGAGGCCACGGGCAGGGGGGCGGCGGTCGTGGCGAGGCCCGGAGAGTTGAATTCCATTGACCGGCTCCCAAGTCCCTGCCTTTGGACGGAGTTCCAAGTCCTTCGTGCATTTAAATATTGACCGCGCGCCTATTTCCAAATTATGGCACATCAAACGAATTCCTAACACTTGTCCACCTTCAAGTCTATTTGGGAAAAAAGGTGGTGAGAGAGTGTAAAAAAGACGTCGAGAGACAGTAAACATGTGCAGAGTCAAACAGGATATGTATGCTCCCAAAGATTGCTGGGGGCAACTGGAGTAGAATCAATGTTTTGTCACTGATGCGACGGAGGCTGCATGTTAAGTGCCTTCGAGTCCTTTGAAACTCATAGGGAGCCTGCATAGGGCTGGTGGACTTGAACCTCAGGTCTTGTGGTTCAAACCGACCTTGTGGTCCAGCGCATTATCCTGCAGAGCCACTCATCGAGTCATTGTTGTTGTTAGGTGCCATCGAATCATAGCGACCCTCTGCCCAGCAGAAAGGAACTCTGCCCGATTCTGATCCTGGGCCAACCTCGCAATTGTTGCCACGCTTGAGCCCACTGATGCTGCCGCTTTGCCAATCCATCTCGCTGGGGGGGTCTTCGTCTTTTTCTCTGACCCTCCACCTTACCACACGTGAGACCTTCTCCATCGACTGGTCCCTCCTGACAATATGTCCCTGTATATAGTTTGCGAAGTCCTGGTGTCGCTAGTGCTGTAGGAGAAGCACTTACTGCTAACCACAAGGTCCGTGGTTCAGACCCAAATTCCTTGAAAATCTTATACTGGGTGGCTATAAGTCGGAACCGACTCGACGACACTTAACAACAACAACAGCAGCATAGGGTTTCTGAGGAGCAGCTTGTGGGTTTGAACTGCCGACTTTGTGGTTAGAAGTCCAGTGCTTATCTTACAGCGCCACAGCTGATGTTCCCCAAAGTCAGTAGTAGTATTTTGCCACGGGAGGCGCACAAGACACAATTGCAAATATTTAAAGAAAAGAATATTTTTATTTAAGAAGACTTGGGTGGTGCAGTGGTTAAGCACTGGGCTACTAACTTAAGAGTTGGTGGTTCGAATATACCAGCAGCCTCGTCAACCCTGTGGGGCAGTTCTACTCTATCCTATAGGGTAGCTCTGTTGTTAGGCGCCATCGAGTCCATACCGACTCACAGCGACCCTGTGCACAACAGAATGAAACACTGCCCGGTCCTGGGCCAACCTCACGGTCATCCCACACTTGAGCCCATTGATGCTGTCACTTTGCTAATCCACCTTGCTGGGGGTCTTCCTCTTTTTCTCGGAGTCAAAATCAAATTTATGACAACTGGTTTGCCTTTTGGCTTTGTATTTTAAATCTGTCAACATTTATTTTGTGTGTTTTGATTATAAAGTTAAAGCGGTGCAGTGGCTTGTTTTGGACTGCTGACTACTAGGTTGGTGGTTCAAGCCCATCAGCTGCTCCAAGAAAGATTTGCAATCTCAGAAAAACTAAGGAGTTCTGGTGTGGCTGGCGTGGCAAGATAATGAACTGCAAGGTCTGCTAGAACAGTAAGGTCCGCAGTTCAAACCCACCAGCTGTTTCTCAGAAACCCTACACAGGGTCACTGTGCGTCAGAACCGACTCAACCACAACACTAGATTGTGGTGTGGCGTTGTATCATAAGCAGTAGCCCACAAGGTCGATTTGAATCACTAGGTTGGTGGTTCAAGTTCACCAGTGGCTTCTAGGAAGCCCTATGCAGGGCCACTAGAAGTCCTGGTGTGGTGCTGTGGGATAAAGCCCTGGATCACAAGGTCTACTTGAATTACAAGGTTGGCAGTTCAAACTCACCAGCCGCTCCTTGGAAACCCTATAACAGGATCACTATGAGTTAGAATCTACTCGACGGCACTTAACAACAACAACAACATAGGTCTTTGTGAATTGCCATCCACTTGGGAGAGACCTAATACAAAATTTTGTGGAAAATGTAATTTAAAGATGATGGAATTTTTCCATGACTATTTTTAAAAAAAAAAACTCTTTTAAGATTAAATCCATTTATGTATTTTTTGGAGGGTAGGAGTAAGGAGTTAGGGTTGGGACTTTGACTATCTAGGACTTTGTTTAGTATTAGGGTTAGAATTCGGACTAGGGTTGGGGTTAGGGTAAAAGTTGGGCTATGGCGAGGAGTAAGACTTGGTCTAGTTTTTAGGGTACCAGCAGAGTTTGCTTCTATTTGTTTATTTCAGTTTTTCCTTGAATTCCACTTGATTTCCTTTTCATTTAGAAGTTCTGTAACGACATTATTTCCTTCTTTACTTCTTGAATTTTTTGATCTTCTTGCAAATTGTATCCCTGGTTCCCTATTTTCACTCTGGTAGGTTTGTTTTACTTTGTTGTTGTTGTTAGGTGCGATCGAGTCAGTACCGACTCATAGCAACCCTATGCACGACAAAACAGAACCCTGCCTGGTCCTGGGCCAACCTCACAATCATTGTTATGCCTGAACCCATTGCTGCTGCCACTGTGCCAATCCATCTC